AAATGTACGTCAAATGGCTTGGCCTTGATGCAAAACATAATAGTTGGATTGACAATGATGCGATCGTCTAGGTGTATGGGGTGGGGGGGGTTTCTGCTAAAAGTGAGTTCTCAGTCGGTTGCAGTCAGTCAGTCAGTCAGTCAGGCAGCTAGTAAAAAAAAAATGGATACCAGTGGTAGTGGTTCAAGTTGCAGCGAGTTTGACCTCACCACCAGCAGCTCACACGAATCATCTGTAAACTACGACCGTGAGCTGGATGCTATTCTGGAAAGGTACGAAGAAGCGGCCAAGAACGAGGACCATTATCTGCTGTACACGCAGTTTCCAAATGGATCATACCAAATTGGATGCGGTCTAAGCCCAGCGAGATCATTTACTCCTGCTGTAATTGTGTGGAACTCATCACGGTTGAAACTATCTTTCAGTTCCTATGAGTGGGAACAATTAATCACCCAGCTCAATGTGGTAACGGTGAAGGAGACGGAGGAGCAGGAGGAGGAGAAGAACCTTCCTGACAAGTATGATCCTGTCGAAATCGAGTGCGGTGACTATTGCAGAATTCGACGACTAATCTATGATAGTACGAAAATTCTCGAAATAACCAAGCACAACATTAGTTTCTACCTCTCAGAAATGGACGTGAACGCTCTTTTAGAAGCAAATAATGAACTTTTAGTACCGTATATGTCTATGCTAGAAACTGTTGAATTTCCAAGCTATTATTATAATGCGCTTAAGATTGTTCGAGCTAGTTTTAATGATCAAAATTATACGTTTTCAGATGCTATTCAAAAATTGTATACATTTAAGCTCGTAGGCTGTACTTTACAACATATAGCGTTAGGACAACATATATTTTTCTATAGACATAGGATCGCTAATGATCTTGAACGATTTTAATAAAGTTTTTGTAAAAATGCATATCTGTCGTTTCATTATGATATACGTCACGTAACGTGACACGTGACGTGACGTGACACGTGACGTACGTGACGTGACACGTGACGCACGTGACGTGACACGTGACGCACGTGACGTGATACGTGACGCACGTGACGTGATACGTGACGCACGTGACGTGATACGTGACGCACGTGACGTGCACACTTTGTTCAAAAATACCAAAAAGATGTCTTGATAGCCCGAAGAACCGCGCCACAACATCAGAAGTAATGTTAGTATTATGTGTGTGCGTGTTTTTTTTTTTGTTTTTGAACACGCTAAGTTTTGAACTCCAACCACGCACTAACATTGCTTCTGATGTTGCACACCTCTGACGACTCAAGCTATCAGGACATCTTGTTGTTGTTGTTGTTGTGAACTCTTCTTACTAGAAAAATCTAACGAAATCAATAAAACATCTTTTTATAAATATTCATTTATTAAATCTAATTACATACATGTTTGAAAAAATATATATATATATATAAATGTTAGTACTACATACATGTTTGAAAAAAATATATATATAAATGTTAGTACAATAGATAGAGAGAAACTGGAGGACGGATGAACGCTTTTTATATATTTTTTTGTAATTTGTTTGCTGTGATGTTTTTTTTTTAAAACTCAATATCGCTGTCTACATCAGATTCATCAAATCGGATTCGGATGTTATTTCTAGACCTATCATGTAAGGCATCTCTGCAAGATTCCTGGTCTTTTAGTTCAAACACTACGCTTTTAAAGCAGCTGTGACACCAATTATACTTTTTTTGGTATACGTTCAAAATAATGTCATGTGCATCGTGAACCTCGTGAGAATGGTCATAGCAGGCAAATAAACGTTTATTTAAAGTTTTATGTATTTCTTTAAATTTAGATAAACAATTTTTACATACGTGTAGGTAATATTGGTCCAGCCAATATCCACTTGTCCATAGACAGTAACTAGAATAATCTTCAAAAACATAACCCCAATCTGATTTTCCTAATATAGTGTGAATTAAATTTGGATCTATTTCTTTGTGACATCTAATAAAGTTAATTCCTGTATATGAAGAATCAAGATCATTTTTGGCTTCTTTAATCATAGCGTGCCATTTATATAAAGGAAATTGTTTCACAATTTCCGTAGTTAATTTCCATGGTAGTGGAGACTGCTCCATGAATTCTACTGCTGATGATGTTATTGATTCGCAAATTTTTCTAACAGCTAACTCTGATAATGTTGGGGCATTCATCTATAACAAAAAAAAAAACGCTATTATAAGATACTGTAATGCCCCCACGGAAGTGTGTCAAAACTGTTCGGAATTAAATAACGTTTGTCGTCATACGGACTTAAACTAATTTTTGACTGTTCAACAGAATATACGTTGTGTGCATACGACCTGATACAGCGTTGTGTAGCTGTTTTTTCCTTAAATTCTTTCAAACATTCAACATAATCCTCAAATGCAATTTTATTTTTAACAACATTGTACTTAACCCCTTTAGATTTTTTAACCACCTTCCCACCCTGCACCTTGTAACTATACATTTTGCTTCGAAGTCCAACAAAATGTGTCATAATTTTACCGTTATTTTCATCTTTCATTAGACCCGGCACCTTTTTGTTCTTACGCAGTATTTTATATATGTTATTTTCAGGATAATCCGAAGTATCAAATTTACTGGAATCAGCTTTAATGATCTCCTCATATGCATCCTCACATTGCAATTCGTAGATAAAACTGTCTGTGTCCATGTACATGAGCTTACACCTTTCTGCACCCATTTTTGGTAGCATATAGGTGTAATGAAAATCGTACATGACTAGTTTCGATAGGTCTAGAATTGCCTGCCCTACATACAGAGGTTTGTTAAACGTTATTTCAGCCTTGTTCAATTCGATAACCACCAGATTTTCCTCTAAAATTGTGCGACTGTGGAACCGAAAACTCGAAATCAAGTTTGCTGCCCCATAGCGACCACCCCAAGATTTAACGATTTTACATACGCGGTGCTTACGTATATTTTCCATGGTCTTACCGAATACTGCATTATTCATTAATTTAAAAAGATTTTTTTCGAAATCATTCCGGGCTGCAGCTCTACATCGAGTATTCAACTCGATGTAGGGTTTCAGCCAGGCTGCTTGTTTAAATTGTAAAATTTTATGGATTTTCGTTAACTTTAACCCATTAGCTAGCATTTGTTTTAAATTTTTATAGTGAACCGTGTACTCTTTTTATCCGTAAGTGTTGCCATTAATTTCGGCAATTTTACCCCGCCGTCGCTGGGTGGTACGCTACGTTCTGCCGCAAACGGAAAATCTTTGTGTTTATCGTGCAGTTCTTGTGGGTACGATAGATCGACTTGTAGCACGTACCCTACGTCAGAGTCGTCGGGTATTGACATCACATCAAACGATGTTACATCATCTACCCATTTGAACCCTCCGTAGGGTAAGGGTTGCTGCATAGCCTTCCCATATAAGCTATTCACATCCAGGTACATAAGGTACTTGGACGGCTTTTCAGGATCATATTCGGGCATATATTTATTGTTGGCCTCCGAAAATCGGTTGCTACACACCGAAATTCCACCTCTTATAGCATTTTCGTAAAACATCACCATATCTAGATCCTTTAGTAGTTTCTAACTTACACCCAGTGTATTTGAGCATACAGTCCCACGTATATCCGGGCATTGTATAGTACCACGCAGGATCCAGACCATAGGTGGAGAAACATTTTTTACGCAATTGCTCAAAAACGTCGGCAAGAAGCAGAATATCTGTTTTTAAATATATATCAGAATACTCTCCTAATGTTTTAATGTTAAACTGTTGCCAAACAGATTGCGCATGAGCATACTTCTCGTCACTTACACTTTCATCGTTTAATTTATTGTAAAATTTTTCAATTGGGGCAAAGTCGTTTCATTTAATTTTTTTCAACGAATCATGTAATCGTAACAGAAAACTCCTTTCTGTGTTAATAATTTGAATTTATCTTCATCTAAATTTTGAAATTCCTTTGTAAATTTTCTTTTCTGATACTGCTAAAATTGAAGCTAATTCATCAAGAGACGCCCCCCTAAATCGAAAGAGTCTTAAACCGCAATTTAATGTTTTT